GAGACACTTAGTGGGAGCCTCGTGCATAATGAGCTCCAGATATATTCCTGGCATAATTACAATGTTTTTATCGGTGGTGCACCCACACACGTGTCCACACAACTTCCGGATGGAACAAGGAAAAACACACTTTCCCTGTGCCCACCCTGCAGCCCTTGTGGCATTTGAGAAAACACTCCTGTCCCTCCCAGTTGCAATCGCCTCCTCTCTATCCTGAACTCACAATGACCCTCAGGGGACATGGCTTCCAGATCTGACCCTTCCAGGTAGGTTATTCTCCTCTGGACACACCCCAGGGGCCAATGGGGTTCTTAGAAAGCTGTCCTTCCCGGAAGGGACAGTGCTGTGCCAAGAACGGAGGGGACCACCCTGTCTGTGAGCCCTCCACGTGCTCCTGAGAGGCTGGTCCAGTCCCTACACACTCCTATCACCCTTGCGTTTGCCATGAACACACTATAGGCCACACGGGAAGCCCAGATGCTCCACACACATGCTCACATTTACTCCTCTCCACACCGCTGAGCAATAGACAGTATCATCCCCACTTTGCAGATGGGCAGAGTGAGACTGAAAGGCTAAAGACCTTGTCACTGGAAAAGGGAAGAGCTGGTGTAGGGACAGCGCTGAGTCCAGCTGCCTCCACTAACTCCCCCCACCCCAACCTGGGCTTCTTTCAGGAGATAGGTACCCAGGAAAGCCTCCCCGCCCCCTGGCTGTGCTTTGTTCCTCAATCTGAATGCAATCAGGGGTACTGCTGGTCTCATCCCATCACTCCAGCCTGGGGAGGCGCATCGCAGTGAATCTTGAGCCTGTCATCCGTGGCATTAGCTGTCCCTGACAGCTCTGTGTCAGCTGCTTGTCTGATGAGCCCATCTTCTGAGTCTTCTGCCAATTTACGAATAGAAATGTTGAGCAGGAGAGAGTCCGGGCAGAGCCTTGGGGACACTGCCGGAGACCCTCCTCCCGGCCTGACAGTAATCCTGGATCAACACTTTCGGGGGATAAATCAACCCTGTCCCTGTCATCCCATCTCTATTCCTCCCCGACAGCCTTTACCAGATGCCTCGTTGCCATCGAGATTCAACACATAGTTCAAATTCCCTGATCCAGGGTCACTCCCACCTCCTCCTCATCCCCCCCCTACAAAAAAACAAGACTTGCTAGTTCTTATTTGTTCTAGAAAACCGCATGCCTGCAGAGCTAAGATATTCTCAGAACTCAGATCAAACCGCTTCCCTGCTTAAAATCTTCGTGTGGCCTCTCATTACACGCAGGATGAAATCTAAGCTCCTCTGTGATCTTCAGAGCATGACACAAATTGGCCACATCTCCTCCTTCTTCCGGCCACACTGGTCTTCTAGCTACTCCTTGAAGTGTCACACTCATTCCAGCCCCAGGACCTTTGCACTCATCCCACAGATTGTCCCTTGACTGGTCCCTTGGCTGGTTTAAGTGTCATATAAATTACACAGTGGCCTTTCCTACCCATTTTTGAAGAGCGGGACCCTGACTAAGTGCTCTCTACTCCATCCATTTTCCTCCCGGTATGTGTCACTGTCATATGGTATCTTTCCCACACTTTTACTTCCCACCACATATACTCTGTAAGGGCAGGGACTCTATCTTGTCACTACAGAAGCCTCCAAACCTAGACCAAGTAACTCCAGCTCTGTGAGTATTTGTTGGATGAATGAATGAACAAGCTCACTTGCCTTTACTTATGCCCATCTCTCAGAGGTCTTAAATTCCCTGGTGCACACTCCTGGTCCTCTCCCAGGCCAAAGGCAGCCCAGCTTCTTCCTCCAGTTGCAAACAGCCTGGCTTAGGTTCCATTTTCACGTCCCACCTACGGCCTGGCGTCCCTGTGAGCTGATCAGATGACACTAACCATCCCGCTTGGCCCCATCC